AGAACTACACAGGTAGTGGAGTCCAAGCTGGGGCTGGGAGAGGGGAGGGGGCTGTGCCAGCAGCAACTGACCTCTCCACTCCCCCCAGGGATCGCTGCCCGAGAGGTGCCCCTCTCCCTGCACTTGCTCAGCCAGGCTGCCTGTGGTGTGGCAACCAGCACACCCAACCCGCAGGCACAGAGTGCCATGCTGGAGTGCGCTGGCGATGTCATGGATAAAGCCAACAACCTCATTGAGGAGGCGCAGAAAGCGGTGGCCAAACCCCATGACCCAGAGAGCCAGCAGCGCCTGGCCCAGGTGGGGGGAGCCTTGGTGCCCCCCACCAGCCCATGGGAAGGGCATGAGGCTGGCTGGGGGATGGTGACTGCTCTTTGCTTCTTTGCAGGAGGCCAAGGCAGTGTCACAGGCCCTGAGCCACTGTGTCAACTGTCTGCCAGGACAGCGGGATGTGGACGCTGCCATCTGCATGGTGGGAGAGGCCAGCAAAAGTCTGTTGGTGGATTTGGTGAGCTGAGCCAGGGCAGGAGGGATAGGGGGGGAAGCCTTGTAGGGATGCAAACCAGTCCGTCCGCACTGGGTTCCTCTCTAGTGTGTCCCCAAGCAGGTGCCAGATCTTCATCCTCCATCTCCATCCTCTTTGCCACCTCTCCTAACCCCTCTCTCTGCCTCCAGTTCTTTCCCAGCACCAAGAGCTTCCAGGAGGCGCAGAGCCAGCTGAACCGGGTGGCTGTGGGGCTCAACCAGTCTGCCAACAAGCTGGTGCAGGTGTCACGTGGTACCTCTCAAGACCTGGCTATGTCTTCCAGGAAGTTTGGGCAGGACTTCAGTGAGTTCCTGCAGGCAGGAGTGGAGATGGCCAGCAAGTCTCCAGTGAGAGCAAATGCCCATTGGGGGATCCTGGGTACGGTGAGAGGTTTGGGGTGCCTGGGAAGGCAGCTCAGCCGCAGGCAGGGTGGTCGGGCAGTGGTGGTTAGGGTGGCTATGGCCAGCACAGCTGGTGAGATGGGGATCTGGGACTGTGCAAAACTGCAGCAGCAGGGGGAAAGCTGCTTGGGTTGGTTCAACGAGCGTTGCTGCCATATCCTTGCTGCTGGCAGACAAGTTGGATGAAGGGAACCGGCTCAGCTTGGAAACCACTAGAGAAGACCCAGGGTTGGTGTGGAGCTTGGAAACCTGTTGCAGGTAACTCTCCTTGGCTTCTTGCAGAATAAGGAAGACCAGACACAGGTGGTGTTGAACTTGAAGAGCATCTCCATGTCCTCCAGTAAGCTGCTGCTGGCTGCAAAGGCACTCTCTGCTGACCCCACAGCCCCCAACCTCAAGAATCAGCCAGAGGCAGCGGCATGGTAGGAGGAACTTCTCCCTGTGAGCTGTTTGCTGTAGCAGTGGGGCCAGGTGACAGAGCTGGTGTTGATCTGTGGGTCTCTCTCCCCTGTCCCTGGCAGGGCTGTGACCGACAGCATTAACCAGCTTATCACCATGTGCACTCAGCAGGTGCCAGGCCAGAAAGAGTGCAACAACACCCTGCAGGAGCTGGAGGTGAGAAGCCACATCTCGCCAAGGCAGTGGAGGGGCTGAGATGGCTGGGTGCTGAGATGGTGAGGAGGGGGCAGCTGTGCCCCACTGTGAGGGGTGGGAGGAAGCAAAGAAGAGGTGCAAGTGGGAGGGCATGAACCCTTCCCCTGGATGTGACAGCCGTGTCCCTGCAGATGGTGAAAGAGCTGTTGGAGAACCCCACCCAGACCATCAACAACATGTCCTACTTCACCTGCCTCGACAGCGTCATGGAGAACTCCAAGGTGAGTCCTAAGCTAGGGGTGGAGGTTTAGGGAAGGATGGGAAGGTTTGGGAAGGATGTGGGGACAAAAGGAAAGGTGGTTCCTCCCCTGTTGATAAGCACAGTGAGCTTTGAGCCTGGGAGCACTGCAGGAGCGGGAGGTGGTCTCTAACCGGTGTGTCTTGCAGGTGTTGGATGAGTCCATGGCTGGCATCTCCCAGAATGCCAAGAACAGCAAACTGCCCAAGTTCGTTGAGTCTATCAGTGCCACCTCCATAGCTCTCTGTGGGCTGACAAGAAGCAGTTGCCCAGGTGAGACGCACTTGGTCCCAGCCCTGGGCGTTACGCCTGGTGCATATTTGCCATATGCACCTCTCCCCTGCCCTCTAAGCCTGGCCCCGTGGGATGGTCCTGCTAGCCTCCTTCCCAGCCCATGCCTGCTCTGAGCCTCCCCACCATGTGCAAGCTCTCACTACCTCTCTCATGCTCCCAAGCTGCCTACCTTGTGGGTGTCTCAGACCTCAACAGCCAGGCTGGACAGCAGGGCTTGGTAGACCCCGCTCAGTTTGCCATAGCTAACCAAGCCATCCATATGGCCTGCCAGAACCTGGTGGACCCTGCCTGCACCCAGTCCCAGGTGAGCATGAAGTGGGGCACTGTTACAGGCATTTTCTTGTACAAAAGGGAGTGTGAGGCTAGTGGGAAGAACTGTGTCCCAAGAGTTGGCCAAAATTATGGGCAGTGTCTCATCAGGCCCCATCAGCTGTACTGGGAACTAGCTGGCAACAGTAACAGCCCAGATGGGGGGCTGTATGGGTGTGCAGGACCTTGACAATCCTTCTTGGGTCCCAAGAGGGACCTCTGCAGTCACTGGTGCCCTGTGTGGGGCTGGCAGGAAGGGAGAGCTGTGGAGATGGGCAGATGCAGTGGGTCCTGCCTCACCCTGCTCTTCCCCACAGGTGCTGTCAGCAGCCACCATTGCAGCGAAGCACACCTCGTCCCTGTGCAACACGTGCCACCTGGCCTCCTCCCACACTGCCAGTTCTGTGGCCAAGTGCCAGTTCATCCAGTCAGCCAAGGTGGTGGCCAACAGCACAACCAATCTGGTGAAGACCATCAAGGTGCAGTTTCCCTGCTGGGGCACCATGGTGGGGATGGGATTTGGGGTGTGGTGGGAGATGGATAATTGCCCCAGTCTCTCCACGCCAGGCCCTGGATGGCAAGTTCAACAAGGAGAACTGGGAGCAGTGCCACACTGCCACTGCCCCTCTCATAGAGGCTGTGGATAACCTGACCGCCTTTGCTTCCAACCCGGAGTTTGCCACTGTGCCTGCCCAGATCAGCCCAGAGGTAGGATGCTGCAGGGGCAGGGAGGGGATGGATCGGCTGTGACAGGGGCTGCTGAAGGGTGGGGAGGAGCTGTGCCTCCCCCTGAGCTTGGGATGGGGCCCCAGCATGGGGCTGGAGCTTGGGGAGGGTGTGATGGGGAGGTGGCAGCAAGCCTTGGGCTTCGAGGGGCTGCTCTGGGGTGAGGGTCATGGGAGAGGGAGGGGGTAACTTCCCATGCACAGTCCCTTGTGTGCGTCACCAGCCCATCATCTCCCCATGCAGGGGTATAGAGCCATGGAGCCCATCATCTCTTTAGCCAAGAACCATGCTGGAGAGCTCTACTGGCCTCATCCAGACCGCCCGCTCTCTGGCTGTCAATCCCAAGGACCTACCACAGTGGTTGGTGCTGGCCAACCCGCTCTCACACAGTCTGAGATTCCATCAAGAAGCTGATCACCAACATGAGGTGAGGCAAGTCCTGCCTGCTTGGCCATGGCCTTGTATCTACTGGTGGGTACCCCTGCTCAGGCTTACTCCAAGTGAGCATCCCCAGGGACATTTTGGCTCATCATCTTCTCAGCTGCAGCCGGGGGGGAGGCAAGGGATGAGATGGAAGATGCCATCCCTCATCCTGTATGGGAGCTGCTCCTTCAGCCCTGGCACAGGTTGATGGGGATGTGTGCCAGTGTGCCTGGGCTCTGACACCAAGTTGCCCCCGGTCCAGGAGAAGGGGTCCTGCCCCTCGCCAGCACCAACTGAGGCTGGGGGTGAAGGGGTGGCATAGCGCCTGCCAGCACCAGGCTGATCCATCTGTCACACAGGGACAAAGCTCTGGGACAGCGGGAGTGTGATGAGGCCATTGAGGTGCTGAACAGATGCATGTGGGAGATGGACCAGGCCTCCCTCGCTGTCATCAGCCAGCAGCTGGCCCCCCAAGAAGATATCCACCAGGAGGTGGGTGAGACACATGCTGCTGCAAGCTCAACTGGGGTGGGTGTCCTTCCCTCTGGCTCACAGCAGCATGCGGTGACCCTGGCCCCACTGCAGCCTCACATGATGCCTTCTCTTTGTGACAGAGTTTGCACAACAAGATGATCACAGCTGTTCAGGAGATCAGCAACCTGATCAAGCCCATGGCCAGCGCAGCATGGGTTGAGGCCTTGCAGCTGGGGCACAAGGTAATGCAGGGATGGGGAGCTGCTGATGAGGCGCTTGATGCATGTGGAAGAGCTCACAGCGGGAGGAGAGGCACAAGGCAGCTGGGACTGGAAGCTGCTGGCGCTGACTCTGCTGTTCCCTAGGTGTCCCAGATGGCTTAGTACTTTGAGCCGTTCACTATAGCAGCTATTGGCACTGCCTCCAAAACACCTACTAGCAGGAGATGAACCTCCTGGACCAGACCAAAATGCTGGCCAAGTCCATCCTGCAGATGCTGTATATAGCCAAGGGGGCCAGTGGAAACCTGAAGGTGAGCAGGAGGGGCATGTGTCAACAGCATGCTCCCCTTAGCGTGTGGGTACTGCATGCTGCACACATGTATGCTAGACATGGAAACCTGGCCGGGGCTATGTAAGTGTGCGGCATCCCTGGCAGGAGGGGAGCTGCTGCCTGCTTTCCCTCACTCTGGCTCATCCTTACAGCAAGCTGCCCACACCCAGGAGGCTCTGGAGGAGGCCATGCAGATGATGAAGGAAGTGGTGGAGGACCTGGCCACCACCCTAAATGAGGCAGCCAGCGCTGCAGGTGTTGTGGGGGACATGGTGGACTCTATCACCCAGGCCATCAACCAGGTGAGGGGAGCATGGAGAGGACCTGGCCAGGGCTGGGGGTAGAAGAGAGGAAGAGTCAGTCAAACCCTACAAGGTCTCTGAGCTGGGGCTGGAGCCAGATTCTCCTGATGGTCTCTTGCAGCTGGACGAGGGGCCAATGGCTTCTTCCATCAGCAGGTCACCAAATCCACCACCAACCTAGATGAGCTGGGCATACTGGCCAACCAGCTCACCAATGACTATGGGCAGCTGGTGCAAGAGGCCAAGCTGGCTGCACTCACCACAGAGAACAAGGAGGTGTGAGCATGGGGTATGCCATGGGGCAGAGCAGGATTTGCTGGGGCATAAGAGCAGAGGACGGAGGCACTTGAACCTCCTGTCAGAACTGGGGGCAGGCAGCATTCAGACCTCCCTTGCAACACAGTGTGGAAACATGGAGCAAAGCTGTGTTTCCTTTTTCTTCCTCCTGGATTGGGAGAGAGAAGCTGGGTGGGGGTGGCTGGTGTTTCCCAGCAAGTATCACAGATGTGGGGCTTAGTTCCCTGCTGGCACTATCATGCACATGTTCCCCTTCAGATCAGCTCCCACATCAAGCACCAGGTGCAGGAGCTGGGTCACAGCTGTGCTGCCCTGGTCACTAAGGCTGGAGCTCTGCAGTGCAGCCCCAGTGATGCCTACACCAAGAAGGAGCTGATAGAGAACACACGCAAGGTTTCTGAGAAGGTGAGCAGCCTGGAGAGAGGTGCGATGGCGTAGTGAGGTGGGAGAAATGCTGGATTGAGCCACGTGCCCTTGGAGCCATTGTGCTGGGTTCTCCCTTTGGCCTGTTGGGCTCTGTTGGCTCTCTCAGCCCTGGCCTGGTTCAGCTGATGGGATGGAGGATGCATCCCCCTCTCCAGGCACTTGTAACAGCAGCTGGTGCTGTGATGACTGAGTGTGACTGCTGACATGCTGATGATGTCCTGCTAGGGAAGACTAATCTACACACCAGTGGCAGCCCAAGGCCCTCCAAATCAGCTCTTGCAGTGGTGGGTGTAGCATTTTCTGTGTCTCTAGCCAACCTGCAGCTCATGCTGGGTGATCAATCTCTCCTGTACCTTTTACTGGCATGGTGGAAAGCATTCTGTCCATCAGTCAATCTAAAGAGCACACTTCTGAATAACAGACAAAAATATGTCTAAAAACCTCTAGTTGATAAGGGTAGAGCAGCGATGCTTGTAAGCAAGATTACAAAATCAAAACAAACACTTGTTCATAGTGCCTGGTACGTGTCTGCACACTCAGGGCCTCCTGCAGGTCCTTCCTTTCCAAGATTGCTTTCCATCAGGAAACATGTTCTCCTATGAGTGCTTGCCCAAGTACAGAAATTGAGTTGAGCAGTTAAAGAAGGAATGAGCTGCAATGTTCTGATGCCCATTATGCAAACCTTATTAATTTGGAAACTAGTAGAGTCCAATATCTCCTGGACCCCCAAACACGATAGGTACAAGGTAAAATTATGGAAGCTAAGAAGGGGCGTCCAGGCCACATGACTCTTGATTCCCCTCATTGGTGTGAAGCAGCTCTGTCCTGGGGAGGTGTCGGAGGAGGTGTGCAGTGGGGGTTGCCTGGACCTGCTCTGTTTCCCTAGTCACCCTACTCGCATCCTGCAGGTGTCTCACGTGCTGGCAGCCCTGCAGGCTGGGAACCACAGGACACAAGCCTGCATCACAGCAGCCAGCACCCTCTCTGGCGTCATTGCCGACCTTGACACCACCGTCATGTTTGCCGTGGCAGGAACTCTTAATCAGGACAACTTGGAGATCTTTGCTGACCACAGGTACCTGGGCACCTCGCCCAACCTCTGCTCAGCCAGAGAAGGGGAGCAGGCTGTGTCCTGCAGTCTCTTGTCTTTCTGAGCTGTGGACCAGCCAAGGAGAGCTGCAAGTTCAGGTCACACTGGCTCTGTTTCCCCTCCAGCTCATATGTACAGAAGGCAGCATCTAGAGTCTCTCTACACCCCAAGGAGCATGTGTGTGTATAGAGGGCTGTGTTCTCTCTGAGTCCCTTCTTCTCCCTAGGGAGGGCATCTTGAAGACAGCCAAGGTGCTGGTGGAGGACACCAAGGTGTTGGTGCAGAATGCCACGGCCAGCCAGGAGAAGCTAGCCCAGGCTGCCCAGTCCTCTGTGTCCACCATCACCCACCTGGTGGAGGTGGTGAAGTTGGGCGCTGCCAGCCTGGGATCTGAAGACCCAGAGACTCAGGTGGGATGGGGTGCATGGGGTGAAAGGAGGCTGCTCATAGCTTGCTTGAAGGGGCTGAGGTGTTGTGTAGTGCTCTGGACTCTGCGTGTTGTGGAGAGGGCTGGCTGGGCTTTGGCTGGTGCTGGCTGATCTGGACTCCATGTATACAGGGTGCTCTGGGGTTCCAAGATTTCCCCCTGCTGGGCCACACCAGCCCCAGCCTGAGTGTAACTATAGCCAAGCTGTTGCCCTGGTCTCGTTCTCCCCCAGGTGGTCCTGATCAATGCTGTGAAGGATGTAGCCAAGGCACTTGGGGACCTGATCAGTGCCACCAAGGCAGCTGCTGGCAAAGCCAGGGATGACCCTGCTGTCTACTAGCTGAAAAACTCTGCCAAGGTCTGAGCTGGATGTGATAGGAAGGAGGGGATGGGGCATGGGGGCTTCTCTGCCTGCCTGGGGGCAGGAGGACAACTGGGGGGAGGGCAGGGCAAGGGGGGAGAGCTGGATGTGATAGGAAGGAGGGGATGGGGCATGGGGGCTTCTCTGCCTGCCTGGGGGCAGGAGGACAACTGGGGGGCGGTCAGGGCAAGGGGGGAAGAAGGGGCACATAAAAGGTGGAGCACAACATTCAGAGGAGGCATTTATGGGAGAACAAGATGAGATGGTGTGAGTAGAGTATGGGGACAGGGCAGTTTTGGACCAAACCATGAGGGAGGAACAGGTGCTGGCAGCAGCCCAGAGCTTGTGTGAGGCTTCACCTGGTGTTCTTCTCCCTTCCACAGGTGATGGTGACAAATGTCACTTCCTTGTTGAAGACAGTGAAGGCTGTTGAGGATGAGGCCACAAAGGGGACATGGGTGCTGGAGGGCATGATAGAGCATATACGTCAAGAGG